ATTCATGTCATCAATGAGTCTTGAACATACTATCTATGGGGTCAATTTTATCTTTTATGATAGGTTAATTATGGTATTAGCTTGGAATATGGGGGATAAATCTAGGATAAATAATTGCATATGTTCTTATCCCACTCACCATACTTTTCTGTCTTTACTTATCCCCCTCTTCTTCTAATCTCCATTAACCCAGACAACCTATTTATATAATGTTTTTTTAAAATCCCTGAAGACAGCAAAATATAGTTAATGAACAAACAGACAATCTAGGTGCAGAAGTATTTTTCTTTTTTCTTGTCTGGGTAGATCTAATTAAACACACACACACACACAAAAAAACCACAGCAGAGGACACTGATGTGATCTCATTGATTTTACATAAACAAGAGTGCAATTAAAACAGCTTCCCTATCCAACAAATGTCACTTATTGATCATCAGGTGTTGCTTGGAGGGGTGCTTTTGTTCCTTGGTTGAATGCAAAACTCTATCCCATAATAGGATCTCAGAAGGAGGTTATTCAATTGGCTGTATTCACTGCTGAGAAGGATGGGAGCTGCAGTTTCAAAACTTCAGCTGATCCCAAAAGCTGAAGTTTAGTCACAGGGGCTGTGGATAATAATTTTATCTAGATGTTTTTATATATCATGGTCTTATTGGGTTTGGTTTTATGCATGTGATGTCAATTATTGCAGGTTTTTTTTTTATTTATTAAATTTACATAGCTACCCATCTCAATATAAGGCTCTTGGTAGCTCACAATTAAAAACAGCATAAAAACAACAATACAATGTAAAAACATATAAAATCTTCTAACAAAATTCATAGTCTATGAACAAAATGATCATACCTATCCATAACAGTCAATATAGCCACTATACCAGCTCTACCATGCTCCTATGTCTGCAGCCCATTGGCAAAGACCTTGCAAAATTCAGGGCTGATCTGATCTCAGGGGGAGGTGGGGTGATGTTCTGCAGAGCAGCTGCTATGACAGAAAAGCCTCTCTTCCTGGGCCCCACCAGATGATACTCTCTGGTTGACGGGACCCAATGCATGCCCCTCTTGTTGGACCTGATGGAATAGGTTGATATGATTGGAAAGAAGTAGTACCTCAAATAGTATGCTATATGCATGCAGCCAATTTTGGTTTACTAATAACATAAGATGCTATCATCTTTCCCTTAATGGAATCTCCGTTTTATTCAAAACTTTTCCATCTGATGTGTCTGTTAAACATAACAAGCGAATAGGTACTTACCTGGGAATACTGTAATAAATCACAGTAAACTCAGTGGGATTTGTTTTAGAGTAGACTTGTATTCTCAAAAGGATTTGCAAGGTAATGTAATGTATTATTTTAATATCCACTATGATTTAATTTCCCCCCATGTTTTGCTATGTTACCTCATTGTATCAGAGGGATGTTCTTGGAAGGGATGAGTGAAATGTATGTCAAGAGAATATACTCCCAGCAAAATCACTCAGGGTGCAAAGGTCATCCCATAAGCACCCATATCAGGCAGCAATGATATAGGAAGACGCTGGAAGTAGTAATCTTTTCAGCAACCTCAGCAAAAACATCATTTGATATTGTGCTGGAGAAAGCAATATAGTAAACCACTATATTTTACCAAGAAAACTATCCTAAAACAATTTGCAATCTATCACATGCAACGAGTAATACAAGATTAAAGATTTTATGTCTCTTACTGCCAACTAAGGGATGTTGAGGTTAGACTAACCAAGATCTTTAAGGCTTGTAATTTTCTAAACTAGTCTTCCTGGATAGGCTATGCAAAGTGTCTGACAATCTAGTGCAGGGGTGTCAAACTTGCGTCATCACAGCGGCGTCACATGACGTATTGTGACTTTTCCCCCCTTCGCTAAACCGGGCCAGCCTGTGACGCATCCAGCCTGTGGGTCACAAGTTTGACAGCCCTGATCTAGTGCCAGATGATGGACCTATCAGGTCATATATTGCTTAAGGTACTTCTGAAGAAGAGCTGATTGTCTTTTGAACTACTAATGCTCTTAGCATGAATGTAGTTCAGTGAAAGATGAAATTAATCAACTATCTATTGACATCTTAAGCATCAGTGAATTAAAGTGGACTGGAATTGGACAAGTTCAATCAGAAGATAGCATTGTTTACTATTCAGGACACAAAAATAAAGGAATGTCATTGCTTTCATAATCAGAAAACATATAGCAAAGACAACACTTGAGTACAATACAGTCAATGATTGAACAATACCCATTAAATGTCACAGACAATTCTTGAATATGGTCATTATATGATGATTATGCTCCAATCACTGATGCAGAAGAGGTTGAGATGTGTAATGATCAAGTTCAATCTGAAATCAACAGAATATACAAGCATGAGGTGTTGTTTGTGGTCTGAAACTGGAATGCTAAAGTTGGAAATATCAGAGAACAAAATGTAAGAACATGAAGTGAAGGAGGATAATTTATCAGGATGGTATAAGGATTCCTGCCTTGGGCAGGGGATTGGTCTAGATTTCCAAAGTCCACTCCAGCCATATGATTCTATATTATTAGTTCCTGACAATTCAATTATTTCTTCATTGTTATTTCTTCCAACAATCAAAACTATGCATGGACATCACCTAACTGATTACACAAAAATGAAATTGACTATGTTATTCGTAAAAGGAGGTGGAAATTGTCAGCTATAAAAGCAAAGACATGGCATGGGATGATCATGGAACAAAACATAGTAAAAACAGACTGGCTTTAAGATAGTAAAGGAATGAGACAAGATTGTACAGTATATAGCAACCAATATTAGAAGGGATGATGGAGATAGTGAAGTGGTAGATGACTTCTGCCTTTTATATTCAACCATTCATAGTAAAGGAACAAGTAGTCAAACACACTGCAGACCAGCACCAGAATAAACATGAAGGCCTTGAAAAAGATATTATGCTGTAATGTGTCTGTATGTACAAAGATCAGAATTGTGCAAGCAATAGTATTCCCTGTGATAACTATATGGGTGGACTCCTGAAAATACTCCCAAAAAGATTGTATAAATCTCACAAATGACCAGGTTCAAAATATCCTATTTCAGATGCATTATGTGAAGACCCAACTCTCTGGAGAAAGCTCTAATCTTGGAGAAAGTAGAAGGAAAGAGAACAGCAGCAAAGTAGTTACAGTGGTGATGGGTGTACCATTAGAATACCTGATGGACCAGGTTGGAAACAGATGTTCCTGGAGAAAATCTATGTATGTGGTTGCTATAAACTGGCTCATACACACCAGTTAAAAACATAATTTATTTTGTCTCTTTTAAAATGCAACACTTGTTATTTTAGGTTAACAATGCACTTTAATCCATTTTCAGAATCATTGTGAAAAGCAAGCTATCACTTAATAGATGACTTAGGAATGTGTTAAGATCACCAGTTATTGCTGCTATATTTATTCTATAGATTTTGGAGTTTTATAGAAGATATGATTTTACAGAATACAAGACTATACTCCTTGACCTTATGGTCTTCTATAAATCTTCTTTTTGCTTATTTCAGTGATGTATAACCTCCCTGTATAATGACTAAATGAATAATACAAACTGAATAATACAAACTTATAAGAAATTTATATTTAGTAGAGATCCTTTATTCATCTATTAAAGATGTTAAGAATCTTCCCAGTTTGCAACTGATCAGCCAAACCACAGACTGTTACTTTGTAATTTTTATGGCATCAAAATGAAGCCATATCCAACTTTATCATCATAATCATCATTACCATAATTTTCACAATTATGTAATTTGGGTCAACTGTATTATGACAGCTGATTCAAGTCACGTGAATGATGCACATCATCCTTTTGTTTCACCACCACCACCACAAAAACACTCCCACCCTTTATCACAAATAATTTTGTGTCTCTGGGTTTACTATTTTCTTTGTAATTGCATCCAACTTTTGTTAGTGATGTTCAAACAAGCCACCATCACACTGTATTATTTCAAAGAAATAAAATTAAACAATGTATAATAAAAGCATAGCTTTTTCAGGACACATGTAATGACAAATGGAGCACCTATAATGCACTATAATTTGCTTGTGCTAATCCAATTATATCTGAAACTCCAGAAAGCTTTCATTCAAGTTGTCTGAATTATTCTGCTACCTGAGCATGAATAACAAGTCTCTCCAAATGAGCCATACAGAGGGATTGAGTTCTAATCCTGCTTCAGAGGCATAAAGGGCCAGTCACTCTCTCTCAGCCCTTGGAAGCAGACAATATATAAAAATGGGAGAGAAAGATTTTAGAAGTGATTTGTCTTTGTCTGCTTTTTAGGGCTGAGAGAGAGTGACTGGCCCAAAGTCACTCAGCTGTCTTCCAGTGTTGAATGAACTGATCCTTTGCCCAAGAGAGGTCCCTCCATCACAGCTGCCCAGCTGTGATGGAGGGATAGCTGCCCAGCTAAAGCTATTTGCTACCAGGTGTCTGGTATCTAGGAAGATATCAGCCCTAGGAAGCAGACAAAGACAAATCACTTCTAAAATCTCTTTATCTCTCGTCCGCATCTGGAGCCTTTCTGAGTAACATTTTAGGTTGGAAGACGGGATTGAGCTACCTGGCACCTCTAAATGACCAGGTGAGAGAGAGATTTTAGAAGTGATTTGCTACCAGGCACTTGGTCTCAATATCTAAGCCAGGGTTCATTTAGAAGTGCCAGGTAGCTCAATCCCGTCTTCCAACCTAAAATGTTATTCAGAAAAACTCCAACTCGCATTCTTTCGAGCCTCCCCGGAACAGGAAAAGCGCAAGAGGGATTTGCTCGAGTATTAGAAACTTTTAAAACTGCGAGGAAACTCCCACCGCTAGAGGGCGAGCGACCACCTCTGCGCCGTTCTTTTTTTCCTTCTGGAGAATCGAAAGTAAACCGCGGGAAGCGCCCGCCTCCATTCGTCCCTTTCTTTCCATTCCTCAGCTCCTCCAGCTAACCCGCACGTGCGTGCCACAACAGCCAATGGCGAGCGAGTTTGTTGCGCAGAGCCAATCAGCTGTATCTTAATGTGAAGCGAGCGCCTTGCCGGGTGATTCTTAGCGTTAATGGCTGCTTGCTGTGCTGCTTGCCGTTGGTGGCCGAGATGGAGGACGAAGTCGGTGGGGAGTGCTGTGATAGCGGCCTCCCGCGAAGTCGGCCCTACGGGTCTTCGGTTGAGGGGGCCCGGCTGCCTTCGCCTTACGCGGTTGAATTCGACCACAGGCTTTAATAGCTCTCCTGCCACCTCTGTAGCAACGACTGTGGATGTTGGAAGCAAGTAAGAAAGAAAGACGGACGGACGGGAAGGCTTGCCTCTTTATCAAGGGAGGGGTCTCTTTTTCCTCCCAGGAGGAAAATACGCGCGGGGATGATAAAACCCCTGGAGAATCTTTCCAAAGCATAGTTAAGTTTCGGAGTATCTCAAGTAGTTCTGACCACGTGCAGGTTGACTTCCTCCCTGGGCTGTTTGCGGTGGTGGTGGTCGTGTTCTATGGCTTATGCAGAATTACTTCTGGCTGGATTGGAACACAGCATATTTCCTCCTGACACTTTAAAATAGCAATAGCACTTAGATTTATATACCGCTTCACAATGCTTTACAGCCCACTCTAAGTGGTTTACAGAGTCAACCTATTGCCCCCAACAATCTGGGTCCTCATTTTACCCACCGTGGAAGGATGGGTCAACCTTGAGCCTGGTGAGATTCGAACTGCCAAATTGCAGGCAATCGGCAGAAGTAGCCTGCAGTACTGCATTCTAACCACTGCGCCACTGCAGCTGTTAAATTCTCTCTGGCATCCAATTAGTAAGATGTTGGCTTGAGATGAAAAAATTCTAAAATTAACTAAACATAAACAATGTTTATGTTCTTCCTTTTCTAGGAAATTGGAAATATCTTCAGGAAAACTAGCCAGATTTGCTGATGGTTGTGCTGTGGTTAAGGTATTCACTTCACTGTGAAATAATTTTGGTCATACCATTGAGAGGTTTGTGGGCTGGTTTCTCCCCTCAATTTTTATCCTTTAAAAATGTAATGAATCCTGTGAATAGAACTAGCATGATTAATCTCTGTTTCCTCTGTTTTTTGTATGTTTAAATTAAGTTAGGTGATACAGCAGTGATGGTGACAGCGGTTAGTAAAACAAAAGCTACTCAATCACAGTTCCTGCCTTTGGTGGTATGTATTTCAATAGACAATTATATTATATGCCAAGCATAATAGTCCTCGACTTACAATCACAACTGAGCCCAAAATTTATGTTGCTAAGTGAGAAATTTCTTAAGTGAGTTTTGTCTCATGACTTTTTTGCCATGATTGTTAAGTGAAACTGGCTTCCTAATTGACTTTGCTTGTCTTAAGGTCACAAAAGGGGATTACATGACCCCTGGAAACTAAAACTCTCGTAAATATGAACTACTTGTCAAGTAGTCAAATGTAAATCATGTGATCATGGGGATGCTGCAATGGTCATAAGTGTGAAAAATGATCATAACTCACTTTTTTCAGTGCAGTTGTAACTTCAAACGGTCACTAAACGAACTGTTGTAAGTCGAGAACTACTTCGTATAACTTTTGGTCATAATGCAGAACATTTGTCAAAATAATAAGATTTTTAGATGCTGTATTGAAAAAAATTTCATAGTTCTGAATAGACCAGATAAACTGGAATGTTTATTCCTGATTCATTACATAAAATGTCACCTTGGCTTAAAAATTCAAAACAAAATGCTGCTTTTTTCATTAGGTTGACTATCGGCAAAAGGCTGCTGCTGTAGGAAGAATACCTACAAATTACTTGAGAAGAGAACTGGGTACTACAGATCATGAAATTCTTACAAGCAGATTAATAGGTATGCAGTATAAACATCAAGTAGTCTTATTTATAAGTCTTGGTTTTCTTTAAAAGACAAGTTGTAGAGAGAGTTCTGAATTGGATCATATTCAGTAATTATATCTCTTGTAAAATGGCCATATAAATTTGATCAATAAATGATATACTTATTCTGTATCTAGTGTAGCATTGGGGCATCTGTTCAAGAGAGCTATATATGTTTTAGAACAAGTGCTAAATTGTTTTCTGCTGTAAGGTTTGGTAGGTGACGGTCAGAACAAACTAATACATTTTGCCTGGCACACTAACTACTACATATCCGAGATGGGTGACAAATTTAATAAATACCATAATTCGATCACATTGTCAGTCTGAATTTAAAACCACTGATATTTTCATTTGATAAAAAGTTAGATGTACTATCTCCAGTTATTTGGGAAGGAGTCTAGCCAGAGAACGAAGAGAAAAAGGAGAAGGAAGAGGAAACTTTATTTCTCTTTTCCTCTTGGGCTCCCTCCTATTCTGTTGTGCCTTTCCTGCCTTCCATGCTAAAAGTACATATGCTGTTCCTTGGAAGGGAGGTGGAAGAAGTTGGCATTATATAGCACAATGGACATTTGGAAAAAGCAACCCTCGCCCCCCCATGCTTCTTTGCTGCAAACAGGATTTTCAATGCCAGACTAGAGAAACAAGTCCTGAACAGCCTGCAGCTACCCTCCCAGAGTCTTCTCCACTCCCCTGAGGCACTCTGCACTCCTAACTTGGGTCTCCATATGCTTAGCAACCCACAAGATTGCTTAACAACCACTGCTGGGGTTGAAGCCATTGAGCAAAGCAGTCGCATGATGTTTTGTTTTAACAACCACTTTGCTTAATGGCCAAAATTCTGGTCCCAATTGTGGTTGTAAGTCAAGGACTACCTGTACTAATACCAGTATATTCTTTATGCTTTTCTGTATCTAATGAAAATATACGTGGAAGCCATCTAACAGAAGTGATAATGAGCCTTATTCCATATTTTCTTTTTCATAAAAACCAATGGAATTCTTGAGCTAGTATCTAGAAACAATTTTGTAAATAACCTGATATTTAATATGGGCAAAATAGAGGCATTATTCATAGGAAAGCAACACCTTTTTCCTTTGGGTTGGGTTTTGTTGTTGTTGTTTTTTGGAGGGAGTGATAGTGGACTCTTGGTTAATAGCAGAACTATGATTTAAATTTGAGGAATTCTTAGGATTGATCTATGTTATTTTTGATAGTGCTTATTTTGTTTTTGCTATTTTCTTATTACAGAGATAGTACAATGGGTTTTCAGATATTTTAGATTCAGATCCCATCAATCTAAACCAGCATAGCCAAAGGATTCTGGGAGTTGTAGCTCCTAAAATCTTATTTTTATACGGGTGTTTATTTTGTTATTTAACAATAGTCTGCACAAAAAACAATTAAAGAAATAATATGCTATTTTAATAAATATGATATTGGCTTCTGAAAATTCATTACTGTAACTTTATTTATTAAATTTATATGCTGCCCATCTCACCATCAACTAGACTCTAGGCAACTCTAGGCATTGACTCTAGGCAACTTACAACTAGATAAAAATATGAATATAAAACATTAAAATATTAGAATGATAAATCAGTAAATAACCAATTGAGAAAGCTTTTAAAAATCCACCAATACTTAAATTTTCAAGAAATATCATTGAACGACTATTAGTTTTTTTATCAACAAGAAAAGACAACCAGCTCCATATTTTTAAGTGAGGTACCGGTAGTCCTTGACTTAAGACCACAGCTGAGCCTAAAATAAGTGAATCTGGCTTCGCCATTGATTTTGCTTGTCAGAAAGTTGCAAAAGGTAATTAGATGCCAGTTGCCAAGTGTCCAAATTTTGATCACGTAACCATAAGGATGGTGAAATGGTCAAAGTGTGAAAAATGGTCATAAGTCACTTTTTCAGTGCTGTTGTAACTTCAACGTCATTTAACGTCATTAAATGAATGGTTGTAAATCAAGGACTACTTGTACTGGATCATAAAAATAGATGCAACAAACCTATTTCTGGAAAACCTTTGACTAAAATAAGATTTTTTATTATTATAAAAGCCATATTGCAAAGTTGTTACCGTTATAGATGATCTGAGCATATTTAAATAAATAAATAAATTTTCTGGGTTTTTTTATACAACATCTTCAAATATTATATTTTACAGATCGATCAATTCGACCACTTTTTCCAGCAGGCTACTATTATGATACACAGGTAGGTTATTTCGGTCATTTCTAATTTTCTGTCTAGTTAATAGTGCAATATTGGTGCTAAGTAGCTACTTAGTAATGTAGAATCCAGTTTGTTTTTCTATTATAAAACTGCTTTTGTTTCTGGAAGTGGCAAGGAACAATCTTTTCTTCTTTGTGCCCTCTAAAACTTCGGAAATTTAGTGGATTGTTAATGCATTCCCAAACCAACTTCAATTCAGAGCATTTTTTTTTAATGTGATTCCCATTTGATAAAAGCATAAAGACTTAAAGAAAATGAAAGAAGAAATAAGCCTGATAATATGAGTGAAAATATGCAGCATTTTATGCTAGTTTGTTATGTTTTGGACAGTATTAATGCTATTTAGTAAAACTTGATTTTCCTCTAAGAAAGAGTACTTGAAAGTATCTGCTCATTTCTCCATCTTTGCTGAACGTTCTGCCATGCTTCTAGTTGCTTTAATTTTTTTTACAATTTATATAATATTTCTGGACATCATTTGGGTTTTCAACTAATACAAAAGTTGTGTTAGAGACAATATGTCTCTAACTCGTTTCAAGTATTTGTTATACATTTGTCCATAAATGCATTAAACAACCAAAGAGGCATGATACATTCTTGCTCAGTGTTGAACCATTTGCCAGGCTATTGAAATTTAGTATTCAATTACTGTTAATTAAAACTGTATTAATTGTTTTTCTTGTGTTAGATCATTTGTAATCTTTTAGCAGTAGATGATACCTACAGTCCTGAGGTACAGGCAATTAATGCAGGTAATGAATTTTTAAAATCTTTTTTCCCCTCTAGAATAGATAGACATGGTGAAATACCATAAGCAGTTTCAAATAATAATTCTTACTCTTTTTAGCTTCTGCAGCTCTTGCATTATCAGACATTCCATGGAATGGACCTATTGGTAAGTACAGATGATAATTTAAACTATTATTTAGTTTTTTTAAAAATACAGACAGAGAGACAGACAGACAGTTAGATAGATACATAGATATAAAAATTTTGGGAGTTATAATAAAAGTTCATGATTGCGTCCTAGCACTTGGTATTTTGTTTCCCCATTCTAAATTATCATAATCTGATTGTAAACAACTGCCAGAGATGCACCAGGAAAGTAGCATTTATCATACATTATATTCATTGTTGTGCTATTATCCTCTCAAGTTTAAGCAAAGACAAATTTTCCCTTATTTCCTTTCCTTCCTTTGCTGAATTAGACACAAGCACTGTGTGAGAATTGTCTGTGGTATAGCTTTTAAAATATTTGCTCAGTAAAGCAAATTCTTTTAAACAGCAAATTTGATAAGTAGTACATTACCAGTATTATCTAAGCTGTATTTTTTGTAGTTCAAAAACATTGAAGAGGTTCACAAATTATTGATTTTATTGTTTGATTTGCATAACTGATGGAATATCCTAATTTATGGAATACCTTCTTAGGAGCTGTAAGAGTTGGAATGATTGATGGAGAAGTTGTTATTAATCCCACTCGAAAAGAAATGTCTTCTAGTACTTTGAATTTAGTGGTTTCTGGAGCCCCTCGGAGCCATATTGGTAAGTGGTTCAGATATACATATAGAGGTAATTCTTGACTTGAGACTGGTTTTAATGAACATTTGGATTTATGACAGCCTCAGAAGTGCTTTATGGCCTCTAAAGCACTTCTAGAGGTCATAAAATACCTCCTCCCACCCTGCAGCCATATAACTACGTTTTGGTCTCTTGGCAACTAGCTTACATTCACAACTTTTACAAGCACATGATTCACTTAACAAGTACATGATTTGGGCATACAGCGTTATGATTTGCTTAGTGTCCACCATAAAAAGAGTCATAAAATCATATCCAGTCATATACATATCTTGATTTACAACTGTCACAATTTATAACTGAAATTCTGGTCCCAATTGTAAGTTGAGGACTACCTAGCTTTGATTTAAAAAGACTGAACAATTTTACTTCTACATGGAAACCACTTTTGGACTTTTTGCCAGAAACTGAAAGAAACGAAATTTTGTTTTTGGAAATTATAATCCCATATTAGAATTATATGAGATTATTGAAATAATGTGTATTTTGAACTGCTTTGCAGAGTAGGGGTATGATGTGTTTTGCACCATCTGAAATTTCTGGATGCTCTTCAAAGGCAGCCCAATGTAGAATGTTATAATAATGTGGGAGGCAACTAAGATATGAGTGACTAGGGCCCCCCAATCCAGGAATGGGCACAGCTGGTATACAACCCGAAGTTGTACAAAGGCCCTCTTGCTATGACAGCAACCTGTTCCTTGAGCAGTAGTCATGAGTCCAGAAGGACATTGGCTCTGTATAGGTAGTGAAGCCCTATCCATGATAAATTCCAAAATTGTGTGGTCCCAAAATCCAAAGCTGTTGCCAAGTTCAACCCAAAAATGATATAGCTAAAAGTTCAATTCTTTATTTGTTCATACAAATAAGACCACCCCAATGATGCCCTTGCAGTGATGTCCCGGTGCCTCGAAGTCGTGCGGATCTGGATGGGGAGAAACAGGCTCCGATTCAACCCTTCCAAGACCGAGTGGCTGTGGCTGCCGGCATCCCGATATAGCCAGCTGATACCATTGCTGACTATTGGAGGCAAGTCATTGACCCCCACAGAGAGGGCTCGCAACTTAGGTGTCCTGGACACGCGGCTGTCTTTAGAAGAGCATATGACAGCCATGGCCAGGGGAACTTTCTATCAGGTTCACCTGATTCGCCAGTTGCGACCCTTTCTAGATCGGGACTCCTTACGCACAGTCACTCATGCCCTCATCACTTCCCGTCTGGACTACTGTAATGCTCTCTACATGGGGCTCCCCTTGAGGTGCACACGGAGGCTCCAATTGGTCCAGAATGCAGCTGCGCGGGTGATATTGGGAGTGACATGGCACTCACATGTAACATCTCTCCTACGCGAGCTGCACTGGTTCCCAGTGGTCTTCCGAGTGCGCTTCAAGGTGTTGGTTCTTACCTTTAAAGGGCTCCATGGCTTAGGACCTGGGTACCTACGAGACCACCTTCTTCAACCAATAACCTCCCACCAACCAGCACGCTCCCACAGGGTGGGCCTCCTCAGGGTGCCGTCACTAAAGCAATGTCAACTGGTGGTTCCCAGAGAAAGAGCCTTTTCTGTGGGGGCACCTACCCTTTGGAACAGGTTACCCCCAGGGATATGAATGATCCCAGATCTTCGTACTTTCCGTCGTGCACTTAAGACCTTTCTATTTCACGAGGCTGGGCTGGCATAAATATCTTCTAATTGTTCTAAATCTTTATGCTGAAGATTCTTAACCGATGAACCAATTTGGCTTAATCATCTTATATTCACATTTTATATGTATGTTATTTTAACTGTTCACCGCCCTGAGTCCTTCAGGAGAAAGACGGTATAAAAATTAAATAAATAAATAAATAAATACCATATAATCTTGCCAGACTAAATCTACACTACTGAAGAAATAATTAGAAATTCTAGGGAGTGACTGTCCTAAATCTCTTTCTCTGATCCAACTCTGGGCTGTATTGCCTCTTGTCTCATCCCCTCTCCTGTGTTCCCTTTGTCCTGGGAAATTGTCACTGTATTGTAGTCCATCACAGCACCTTCCTCTTTGCAGACACATTCCATCACACCCATTCAATCTTGCCAGTGTTGAGCTGAAGCTTGTTCCCCTTCCAAACCCCTACATCCTCTAGGTACCAAGACAGAATGTCAATAGCATTGACTTTACCATGTGAATAGATTTACAGCTGGGTATCATCAGCATACTTATGATACCTTACCACAGAGGTGTCAAACAGAGTCATCATGTGACTTATGACTTCCCCCCTTTGCTAAACCGGGCATGGGCATGGCCAGCACGTGATGGATCCGGCCTGCAGGCCACACGTTTGACAGCCCTACCTTACCACATGATTACCAATAACTTCTCAGCAGCTACATGTAGATGTTGAACAGGAGTGAAGAGAGTCTTCTGGCATCCCACAATGTAGGCGCTGAGGGCAGAACCTCTAGTTTCCAATCAACACTGACTGGAACCAGCAACAGAGGAAAGAAGAAAAACAATACTGTATGTGCTACTCGCCCCCAACCCTGACAATTAGCCAGAAAGACATGTTTGATGATATTTTGTCACTTTTCTTCTGAAAGACTTTTTTGGTGTACCTGATTTAAACACTTTTTTTAGATGCTAAATCTGTTTCATCCCCAATGCCTTCTTCAAATAGTACTTTTTTGTCACAATTGTTAAGCATTTAGTGCTTTTTTTTTACAGTTGTCTTTCAAGATTAATTATTACCCCAGAACAGTTTGTTTATTCTTTGCTAATTTTGTTATTAATTTATTATTTTTTGTTAGTTACCCAGAGTTGCATTTGCAAAATGGGCAGCCATATAGGTTCATTAAATAAAATACTTAATACTTCTGAATCAGAAAAATCTTGCAAAGAAGCTAGCTGTCTGAAGTATGGACTTAAGTATTTTTTGCTGATGTTTATTGCTGTTTGCCAGTGACTTGGTTTAACTTGTTATTTGAGGAAGGTTCTAAAGTACCATAGTGTTTCCAAGCCAGAGCAGAAAAAGCTAAGTGAAATAGGATAGATTTCTTTACAGCAAAGCAGTTAAGTTTTCATATGTGTGAATCTTAAGTCATTATCTTAATTCATTACATAATATAGGCTGGCCATTTCTTTTACTTAGAAATTTTGTTAATAGCTAGTATATTCCATACTGAAAGCTGTTGGAATGATTAATCTGAGCATGAGTGGCGCAGCAAACTAATGCTACTGTTAAAGGTAGTATTTAGCTTCCAGCTGCCTGCAATTACTGCGAGTTCAATTCTCACCAGGCTCAAGGTTGACTCAGCCTTCCATCCTTTCTAAGGTAGGTAAAATGAGGACCCGGTTGTGGGGGCAATAAACTGACTTTGTATAAAATATACAAAAGTATGAAGGCTATTGCTTAATGCATTGTAAGCTGCCCTGAGTCTCCGAAGAAGGGCGGCATATAAATCAAAATTAAAAAAAAAAACAAAAACTACCTCTCAATTTTATTCAATAGTTATGTTGGAAGCTGCAGCAGACAACATCCTGCAACAAGATTTCTGCCATGCCATCAAAGTAGGTTTGAAGCATACCCAGCAGATCATTCAAGGCATACAGCAGCTGGAAAGAGAGCAAGGAGTCAAAAAGAGAACTGACCAGAAGTTATTCACTGCCCCTGAGGAGATTGTGAAATATGCACAACAGTAAGTGTGGACACAAGCATCTGGACATTCGTAATTGAATATGTATTGGCTTCTTGTATTCTTTCTTACTTAAAAATAATTGTAGCTACATAATAGTTGCACACAAACATATGCTGCCTAATGTCAAATGACTGAAGCGGCACAGAAATAATATACTTTCTTCAAAACCCATTTTATACAGATAGTCCTCAACTCACAATAGTTCATTTAGTGACTGAAGTTACAACGGCACTGAAAAAAGTTATTTATGACCATTTTTCATATTTATGACTATTGTAGATCCCTATGGTCATATGATCAGAATTCAGACTCTTGGCAACTAACTTATCACAGTTGCAGTGTCCCATCTTTTGTGATCTTCTGACAATAAAGTCAATGGGGAAACCAGATTCAATTAACAATCATGTCACTAACTTAACTGCAGGGATTCACTTAACAACTGTCGCAGGAAAGATCATAAAATGGGGCAAAACTCAACAGAAATTTTGGGGTTCAGTTGTGATTGTAACTCGAGGACCATCTATACCAGTGGTCCCCAACCCCCGGTCCGCGGACCGGTGCCGGGCCGTGGAGTACCTGGCACTGGGCCGCGCAGCGGCCGGGGGACATGAACGCTGCAGCGCAAAGGCTCCTGGGCCGTGCGCAAAAGCTCCTGGGCCGTGCCCCCACCCCTGCGCGCGCTCAGCGGGCCGCGGCGATAAAAAGGTTGGGGACCACTGATCTATACGAATAGGTAGAGGTGGATAGGTTAAATTCTGAAGATGCAAAATTTGCAGAAACATTACAGGTATGAAAGAAAAAATGTTTCAGTGAAAAACAAACTTAGAAGAAAATGAAAGTACATGTAGAGTTTTAATATATTCCTACATCATACTTTAAGAACAAATTAGGCAAACTCCTTTTTTAAAAAAGTTTAGTAAAGCAGGTACTTAATAGGGTTGTAAAATGTATACCATTTAGCGCTCTTCCAGTTAAATTAATAACATTCTTTATAAGACCTCTTCAAGGATGTCCTAGACCTAGCACCTACGAGGTTATGTAAAGTCAGATCATTAGTGGCGTAGCACTTTAGTGCTCTGAGTTCTAGTTGGTTTCATAGTCTGAAGTTGACTCTGCCAAATTTGCATCATTCTTTTTTGTTAATATTCCATTATCCCCCAAACCAGATTAGATACCGATTTGTGGCTTGGGAAGAGTGTAAAAACATTCTTAGAAATTTGGAGCAGAGGACTGCTTAGAGCAGCAGTCCCCTATCTTTGGCAGCCTGGCCGGGGTATGGGGGGGGAGAGGGAAACCTGGCCTATCCCTTGTGCAAGTTGAGCTGTGCACACACGTGTGTGCCTGCCAGTCACGCAAGTCAAGCTATGCATATGCCCGTGTGTCAGCGCAGCCCAGTTCCGAACAGGTCATGGCCCAGTAATGGGCCACAGCCAGGGGGTTGGGGACCCCTGGCTTAGAGTATACTGCACCTGAAAGCTGTTATCAAAACCAGTTCATTTACTAAAAATGAACCTGGCTTCTTTTCTAATTTCAAAGGATGAAGCTAAATATCTAAATTGTGTTCAACATAACATTGAGAAGATTTTGTTTGCTAAATCAATGTTTATTTTTTGGACTTCAAATGCATATAATAGATCTTATTAGTATATACTTTTTGTATATACTAATATATATATATATATATTGTGCTCTAAACGTAGATGTTTGGATACTTGCTGGATTATTGTACAGGAAACCTTTGATTAAATAGATTAATGATGAGAAAGGTACTTAGTAATACCAAACATTTATTAAATGGCAAATGGATCTTTTTGAAACCAAAGCACATGAGAAAATCTACTTTTAATACTGAATGCTCATTTTGAATAGAAGCAGCAAACGTGATCTAGAATGCTTTGCTAAATAATTCAAATATTCGCTTCAGCTTATTTTGTAAATTAAAAGCAAACTTTACTAAACCAAATTTTTTTAGGTTGGAGGGCTTACTCTTTCAAAGCAGAAGGAAAATTCAACATATACAATATGAATGAAGTACTTATTAAAGTATGAACTTGCTACATTGTTTTCTTATTTTTCCATGCTTCCTCCTCCACTTCTGCAAAGACTTGCATCTGAAAAAGTCACAGCAGTATTTTCAGACTTCACACATGATAAAGTAAGTATTTGCATTCATATAATCCCTTCTAGATTTTCTTTGTGCATCCCAGTAGGGCAACATACTGACCTTAGCTTCAAGAGGCAAAAGATGATTCAAAACACTGGGAGTTGGGCAGTGTAAAAATTTAATTAGTATAACATCTGGCAGCAATTCTTTAACAAAACAGCATGTGTCAGCAAAATCTAAGATCTATATGAGAAAAAAATGAAAGTATTAACAAATACCTCTGACCTGATGCCGATCTCATCTAGCTCCTTGGTTTTCCGAGGAGCTGAGAGAGATGAAGCGTCGGAAAAGACGCCTGGAGAGCGATCGGAGGACAAATCGATCTGAATCTGACCGATCACAGGTGAGATCTTATATTAAGACCTACCTAGTGGCGATAAGAGCGGTGAAGTTTAGCTACTTCTCCGCTCTTATTGCATCTGCAGAGAACCGCCCAGCTGCGCTGTTTAGGGTGACCCGCTCCCTACTTCAGGTGGGGGTACGGGAAGATCCCTTAAAGGGTCGAGCTGAGGATTTTGTACAATTCCTGCATGATAAAGTCGCTCAGATTCGGGAAGGCCTGGACTCCGATTGGGTAGATCCAGGGGAGGAGACGGGGGCAGGTCATGAGAGCGTTATCTGGGAAGAGTTTGACTCTGTGGCTCCTGAGGATGTGGACAGGATTCTGGGCAAGCTTAACGCTGCCACATGTTTATTGGACCCGTGTCCCTCCTGGTTGGTACTGGCCTCCCGGGAGGTTACACGAGGCTGGCTCCAGGGGATTATAAATGCTTCTCTGAGTGAGGGTGTCTTTCCCGCCGCCTTGAAAGAGGCGGTTGTGAAGCCCCTCCTCAAGAAGCCTTCCCTGGACCCGGCTATATTATCAAATTATCGTCCAGTCTCCAATCTTCGCTTTGTTGCGAAGGTTGTTGAGAGTGTGGTGGCGCGACAACTACCCCAATACCTGGATGAAGTTGTCTATCTGGATCCGTTCCAGTCGGGCTTCAGGTCACGATACAGCACAGAAACGGCATTGGTCGCATTGGTGGATGACCTCTGGAGGGCTCGGGACAGAGCTTGCTCCTCTATCCTGGTCCTATTAGATCTCTCAGCGGCTTTTGATACCATCGACCATGGTATCTTACTGCACCGGCTGGAGGGGTTAGGAATAGGGGGCACCGTGCTTCGGTGGTTCTCCTCCTTCCTCTCTGACCGTTCGCAGTTTGTGTTGGCAGGGGGGCAGAGGTCGACCTCGAGGCACCTTATTTGTGGGGTACCGCAAGGGTCAGTCCTCTCACCCCTTCTGTTCAACATTTATGTAAAACCGCTAGGCGAGATCATCCGTGGTTTTGGGGTGAGTGTTCATCAGTATGCTGATGACACACAGCTATACATCTCCACCCCAGACCACCCCAATGATGCCCTTGCTGTGATGTCCCGTTGCCTGGAGGCCGTGCGGATCTGGATGGGGAGAAACAAGCTCAGACTCAACCCCTCCAAGACCGAGTGGCTGTGGCTTCTGGCGTCCCGGTATAGTCAGCTGGTACCATCACTGACAATAGGGGATGAGATCTTGCTCCCCACAGAGAGGGCCCGCAACTTGGGTGTCCTCCTGGATTCACGGCTATCTTTAGAAGATCATTTGACGGCCGTGGCCAGGGGTGCCTTTTATCAGGTTCGCCTGATCCGCCAGTTGTGTCCCTTTCTGGATCGGGTCACTCATGCCCTAGTTACCTCCCGTATGGACTACTGTAATGCTCTCTACATGGGGCTCCCCTTGAAAAGCACCCGGAGGCTCCAACTGGTCCAGAACGTAGCCGCGCGGGTGATTATGGGCGCAGCTCGTTACGCCCATGTAACACCTCTCCTACGCAAGCTGCACTGGCTCCCGGTGGTCTTCCGGGTGCGATTCAAGGTGTTAGTTATCACCTTTAAAGCGCTCCATGGCTTAGGACCTAGGTACCTACGAGACCGTCTTTTGCCACCAATAGCCTCCCACCAACCAGTTCGTTCTCACAGGGAGGGACTACTCAGGGTACCGTCAGTCAAATTATGTCGACTGGCGACTCCCAGGGGGAGGGCCTTCTCTGTGGGGGCTCCAACCCTTTGGAATGAACTGCCCCCGGAGATACGGAATATCCCTGATCTCTGTGCTTTCCGCCGTGCCCTCAAGACCCTGATGTTCCAACAGGCAGGGCTAAACATACAAACATGCGAATGATTTTTTAAATGTTATCTAATTCTGTGTTTTATTTAATTGACCAAACTAAGTAACAATTTTAATTAGCAATTTTATGATGTTTGTGTGTCTATATTTTTCTTGACTGTACACCGCCTTGAGTCCTACGGGAGAAAGGCGGTATAGAAATATAATAAATAAAATAAATAAATAAATAAATAAACTAATGTCTGAGCAATGTAGTACTTCAGACTACAGGGTTTAGCCTGATTGAATGTTCTTATTCCTTGGATGTAAAAAAAAAAAAACAAAAAAACCCTAGTATGTGAGAAAGAAGATGAATATTCTATTTTTTGTTATGCCTGGACTTTTTTTCTTTGTACAATACACACACACGTTTGTTTATCATCAACATCCATGTAAGATGTCCACAGAACTACAGATTTGAGTTTCACTAAGATGGTTGTTTATAAGAAAAATAGAATATATATATATACATTTAAATATATATATTTATACAGTGTGTGTGTGTGTGTGTGTGTGTGTGTGTGTATTTGTTTTCTCAGGTTTTCGCGGGTGTTTGTAGGTCTTTGGTTATTCGGGTCTTCTCTCACGTAAAATTGGAAGTGTCTTGGCGACGTTTCGACGAAGTCTCATTCGTCATCTTCAGGCTGGTGTTCTCGGCTTCGTGCTTCCTGGAAGACCACCAGCCTGAAGATGACGAATGAGACTTCGTCGAAACGTCGCCAAGACACTTCCAATTTTACGTGGGAGAAGACCCGAATAACCAAAGACCTACATATATATATATATATATATATATATATATATATATATATATATATACATACATACATACATACATACACATGTACCATATTTTTTCCTTCCTATTTGGTTGCTTTCATTTCTGCTTAGCTGTTCTCTTTGAATCTGCTGAAAGAAAAAGATATAAAACCATGCTAATTATTTTGTTGCTAAAATGGATGCTGTTCACTAAATCAGAAAATAATTTTTCTTCTATGTTAACCTCCAGAAAAGTTTCCAGGGGCTGATTCTTATGAAATCACGGAATCATTTAATGTTGTTTCCAAGGAAATCTTTAGAAATCTTATCATGAATGAATACCGAAGGTAAATGTGGAATTGATTGTCATTAAGTGGAGTTATTTTCAATGCTAATAGAAGGCAAAATGTGATTTTGAAATATCTCATGCTTTGTACATGAGCCAATAAGAATAGAATCCCTAACAGGAGAACATGTGCATGATGAACCAGAAAAAAAATGTGTTCTAGAAAGTTATAGTGGATTAAAAACTTAAAAAATGTATGTCGATTGATTTGGTCTAAGCTGTTGACAAACTATTTTAATTGGACCTATATTTGAATATTACTCCAGTATGTCACACATCAGTTGAATAGTAGAAACAGGATGTGTTGTAATAAATGTACTCCTCTACTCTATCAGCTCTAATAGGTAACACGGCTCTTGGATTTAAATCAAAGGATGCATTCTGTATTTAAGTTCGTGAAATAAGGCTTTGGAAATAAAAAATATTTCTTTTTAACTTTATTTTTCTAGATGTGATGGTAGAGATTTCAATACACTTAGAAATATCAGTTGTGAAGTGGACTTGTTTAAAACTTTGCATGGTTCAGCTTTATTTCAAAGGGGACAAACACAGGTATTCACTTCTGTTGTTTTTGAATATTATAAATTTAAACATTTCTTAAATGTTCCATTTCTAAAGAATTACTATATTTATTTCTGTTTGTTGGCTTGGCTGATATCCTGGTAAAAGCATTTAAAGGGGGATATAATCAGCAGCAAAACTCAAGTTGTATATGAACAAGTTCAAGATTTAAAGCTTTATCATCATTTGGAAAAAAAAACCTGCATGCTCAGGGACTCGGGAAGATGAATGCATGAGTCTGTGTCTTAAGAAGGAAAAAATCTTACACTGCAAATAGTGGTATATTGTTAGTATACAATTAAAACCAAATTTATGATTTTAAGCTACTACAAAATTTTGAAATAAGTTGACTGCTACTCTAAAATTATCCCTAACTTTCTTTGTGCATAAGAAATTAGAGGGCATTGTTTTGTTTTGCATTGCTGTTAAAATTGCATGTATGAGATATGCATGTCAATGAATGAAAAGGTTCTTATAGATGAATAGTATGTGTGATGAGATTTCTTGATCTTAAAACTGGTAAAAAGAGTAAATATTTTCATATATTTTTTCCTTCTGAAAAATAAGTTCAGTTATTTGTGCATATATTTGATTAAAATTTTGAATATTCAGTGTTTATATTTGTAGTATAATATTAAACAAGTACAGCTCAGAAACATTTGAAATGAAGGCAAACATAATTTCACTGAGTTTCTGACATTTTATGTTACTATCATTTTTATTTTATAGTAATTTAATTTAATTTCCATAAAGAGAAATGGTTTTATAATATCATTTCTTTTTTGGCTAATTTTTAGGTCCTCTGTACGGTTACATTTGATTCATTAGAATCAAGTATTAAATCTGATCTTATCACTACAGTAGCCAGGTATGTCCCATTGTATATTTTCCTTCTACCTTCTTTACACTGCCAGTTTTTGCTCTTTGCTGGATCATTTGATTATAACATTGCTTATACAGATAGTCCTTACTTAACCACGAGTGGGGCACTGAGTGCCCATGACGCTTGCATGACTGGGGCCATAAGTGCCCACGATGCTTGCGCAAGTGAGGGCACAAGTTGCCGTGATACTCACGCAGGTGAGGCCCTGAGCGCTTGTGACCCTCATGCTAGTGGGGCTGTTGCGAATAGGCCGCGGACCAGTAGATTGGGGACCCCTAAATTACATTGTTTATAAATCATGGGAAGCAACTTTTCACATCATGTTAATTCATAATAAAGATAGTTCTTGGCAAAGGATCATAATTGGAACCAGAATTTCTATTGATAAGCAAAGTGGTTGTTAAGTGAGTTGTGCTCAATCTTATTATCTTTTTGCCATGGTTGTTAAATGAATCACTGCAATTAAGTGAATCATGCAGTCATTAAACATCCCCATTGACTTTGCTTGTCAGAAGCCATCTGGGAAAGTCGCAAAAGGTGACCTGGTATGTTGCAGCCATCATAAATACATGTCAGTTGCCAAGCGCCCAAATTTTTGTCATGTTACTGTGGGGATGCTGCAACACTTTTAAGTGTCAGAACCAGTTGTCACTTTTGTCAGTGCCATTGTCTTAGTTTATAAACTAAGAATTTTGGCTTACTGTAGGACAATGGTTTATGGTACTTGAATACATATATGTCTCCAACATCTTTGTTCCTACAAGCTTCAATATCCCTTCTAACAATGTTTTTTTTTAATGAAAAGTTGCAACCAAAATGTCATCCCCTAGAATAATTGTATTTATAAGAATGCTTCTAAGCATAATATAAGCTTCCGGTGCATTGCTGTAAAATAAAAGTGGATTCATTGCAGCCCAGTGCTTTCTTTGTAAGTTTTCTTACAGAGAAAATGTTGGATTAGAAACCAGCATTCTAGAAGGGAAAATGATGGACAATTTCACATTTTTTTATAAATTAATTTTCCGTGATGGGTTATGCCAGTCATTTTTGTGAACAGACAAGCTCCTTGTGAGAGTGCTCAGAACATTGTTCACTATCTTACAAAAAGATGACTAAAATATCAATGCAGACACATTTCTGTAATCAATATGTGCATACGTGGATGGGCACATAGTGTACACAGAGTGTAAAATCACTTCTTCAGACAATTTCCTATAAAAGATACAGCAGGTTTAGGGAGATTGAGTTTTAAAAATATAACTTCATACTGGTTCATCAGATTAGTTTTCTGAGTTCGGAAAAGAGGTTGGTCTAATCAGGAAAAGGGCTCCATAATAATGTATTTATTATACATTACTATAAGCTAAACTTACTTCAAAATGTAAATTGCTTCTGAAAGTTACAAGGATTCTGCAGAAATTTATGGCTTGGGAAAGTTGCTTGGAAAATGAGGTTTCTCGTGCCCTAAATCCTGAGTTTCATGGTTGGTTGGTTGGTTTGTGAAAGAGAACAAAGTAGTTTTATTTAAATGTTAATGGATTGATTAAATTATATACAGCTCATTAAGATCTATATAACTTTTTATTTCTATTTTAGTGGAATAAAAGAAAAAAACTTTATGCTTCATTATGAGGTATGATATTTTTCTTTGTTTCACTTGAATTTTATTATTTTTAAGGATGCCTAATCAATAAACTTCAATAAACTTCAGTACTTGAGCTTAGGGCTGATTCCACATTGCTTTTCTAAAAGGAAAATTCCTCTGTGTCATAAGTTTATTCAGATCTGAAGGGAACTCCAGAGTTTTCTGTGGAAAGACCAGCTGTATTGTAATAATAATGCTCTGGCTGTTGTATTTGTTGTGCACTTTTAATACTTGCATTTGCTAGAAGTATCGTGATACTTTTGTGCCTTTTTAATGAGATTTTAATATATTACTCTGCTTTGAGTATTTTTAGGAAGAAAAATAATTAATATACACTGCAAGTGACCACTACCTCTAGGGTTCCCACTTAAACAACATTGTCTGGGTTCCCACTTAAACAAGTTACATTACTTGGGTTTCTATCTAATGTTAAGCCATAAATATCATATTGGGCTAAATTGTGAATTCATTGAGAGGTTTTGAGAGAAGTAGATTAGATTTGGGCAACAGCAATTAAAAGCATCAAGTCAGAGTCAGTACAGAGTCAGATAAAGGTAGTCCTCAACTTACAACAGTTAGTTTAATGACCATTCAAAGTTACAACAGCACTGGAACAAGTGACTTATGACCATTGTTCACATGACCATTGCAGCATCCCCATGGTCATGTGGTCAAAATTCAGATGCTTGGCAACTGACTCGTATCTATGACAGTTGCAGTGTTCTAGAGATATGTGATCCCCTTCTGCAATCTTCTGGCAAGCAAAGCCGGTTTCACTTAACAACTGTGTTATTAACTTAACAAATACAGTGATTCACTTAACCACTGTGGCAAGTAAGGTCATAAAATGGGGCAACTCACTTAACAAATGTCTCATTTAGCAACAGAAATGGGCTTAATTGTGGCCGTAAATTGAGGACTATCTGTATATGACCATTTAGAAGTTGCTATACCCTTTCTTGTCTGTAAATAAGAATATTTTGTGCCACTGAAAAGCAATTACTTCACATGATCACTTACTAAAGGTCTTTTATGAAATACCCCTCAGGTTGTTCATAAACAGCATCTGCAGTGTGTGTGTGTGTGTGTTTGTTTATATGTGGATATATTGCACAGATTTATGGAGGATGGCAAATAGATGCATATATGTATTTATTATAGTTATTTCAAGCAGTAGATGTTAGATGCAGTTTAACTATTATGATATAAACATCTAGTCTAATTCCAGTGGACTGTGAGAGCCAATATTTTTCTTCAGAACTGAGAATAAATGAACCACTTAAAATGTGCAAATAATTTCTAAATTCTGAAGTATGCATGTGGTGTGAATTTCTGGCTCTGTATCTTAACATAAATACTGACTTTTAAAGTGTCTTCCTTCTCTTTGTAGTTCCCTCCATATGCAACTAATGAGATTGGCAGAGTTTCAGGTACAAATAGGAGAGAACTTGGTCATGGTAAGTAAACCCTTAGGCAACTCATTGTTTATATTGAAGTTAAGTATTCTTTGTATTCATGACATTATTTTTATCTGTAGGTGCACTTGCAGAGAAGGCTTTGAAATCGGTGATTCCAAGTAAATTCCCTTTCACAATAAGAGTTACTTCAGAAGTATTAGAATCAAATGGTATTTGCTTTTTTATATAATTTGCTTTAATCTCTAGGATTTGGGAGAAGGGATTTGTAGCCTTTTTTTACCTCTAGTAGAAAATTGCATTGTGGTTTTGGTAAAAATAGAGTTTATGAATGTTTAAAACTCTTATACCTCAACTCCTATTCCAAGCTTTTTTAAAAAATTTCTGAAATGCATCAAGGTTTGGGATTACTACTTTGTTAACTTGTATCTAGAATGACTGAAGAATCTACATCTAAGAGATAGAAATCAAAAGTTGATGGACAGTTATGAATTTTCTTCATATTACTGGGAAACATTTGGAGGAGGAAAGTTGCCTTCAAGTCAGTTTTGACTCCTGGTGACCTGGATTATTTCCTACATCTTTCTTGGCAAAATTTCAATAGTGGTTTGCCATTGCCTGCTTCCAAGCGCTGAGAAAGACTAACTGACCCAAGATCACCCAGCTGGCTTTGTACCTAAGGAGGAACTAGAACTTGGTGGTCTCTGGGTTTGATAGAATTCCTTAACCGCTACATCAAACTGGCTGTCACTGGGAAAGCAGCTCATTTGTAATTATATGTTAGAAAGGTAGTGTTAATTGACAATGCATTAAGGGATATCTTATAATTTCTGTCCACAGGGTCATCTTCAATGGCTTCTGTTTGTGGTGGGAGTCTAGCCTTGATGGATGCAGGTATGTTTTCCCTAAAGTGTATGAATTTCATATTTTGAATTGATTTATGCAATACAATGCTAGGAAAATAGTAAAATTAGAAATACTGGTTTCAAATAGCATAAAGGTCAGATCTAACTTTTGCTCTTGGGTCCAATTCTGGGTAATACAAACTGTTTGCAGGACAAATTAAGAAAAAGGATATTAAAAGGAGTGAGTAGGAATATTTATTTATTTATTTACTAGATTTATAAGACTGCCCAACTCAAACAGTGTGATTCCTATGAAGAAATTTAAGAATTTAGGAAGGTTTGGCCCTAATGAGAGAATAAGTGAAATATTTGAAAAGTTGTCACACAGATGATGATCATGACTTGTATAATGCTAGACCAGGAGTCCCCGAGCCACAGCCCACTACCAGGCCTTGGCCCAGTTCAGTTCTGAGCCATGCAAGCGGTGGGCTGGTGGACACGTGCATGCGCACAGCAAAACTAATACAAGCGACAGGCCGGCACGGAGCCAGTTCCCCCCGGCAACCCCTGTCAAGCTGTAAAGGTTGGGGACCGCTGTTCTAGATTGCAGGATATGTATAATGAGGTATGATTGCACATACTGTAAATACCTGGAATGTAGCAGGTTGGTCCTTTTGATCTCATTAAGCAGGAGTCCCTAAATCTTCCCCATCTCCAATTTCTATATGCTTCACACTCCCTAGGAAAATCTAGTAGGTATGTTATTCTGATCTACTTTGTTTTGGAGGAAAAAAAATCTCTGCATTATTTTACTGGGGAGAAAGAAGGTACCAAATTACTTACATTCTCTGAGTAGTTTAACTGAGCAGGAAAATATATGCCAAGATTGAGGAAATATAGCTATGTAAAATAATAAGTTTCACCCCTGAAAAGTTTTTTTTTCTTTTTTTAAAATATGTAGACATAACAATAATTTATTGTAATTCAAACAATATATAAAGATATAGGTTTGTAGGTTTTACATTATCCTCAAGCACCCTCCAGTACAATGAATAATTCAGGAGTCCTTGGTGCTGTCTGATCTTGGTTGTTTTCATGCAGACATTTCATTACCCAAACTAGATAACATCATCAATGGATAATTCATAAGGATTCTATAATGGTAAGCTGCCCAGCTCCTGATATAGCAAAGCAGTCCCAAATCAAAACATTTCCACTACTATGTATTACAGTTTGTATCAGGATCCTCTGGTGAAATGCTATCTTTGATTTTCACCAAATATGTGTTCTGGTACTTTGACCAAATAACTATCTTTGCCTTGTTTATCCAGAACACATTGTTTCAGAAGCTCTGGTCTTTGCCTAGGTTTCAGGAGAAAACTTTAGTTTTACCCTAGTATTTTTTTCTGGACAGCAAAAGTTTTCTCCTTGTTCTACCTCCCTGATAGATGGTCTAAATAAATTCACAGTTTGAAATCTCCTAGGGGGTCTTTCAGACAGTAGAATGGTTGTTGAAATATTGTTGAAATTAAGGTCAAATAACTGTATGTTGAAATACATTGAAAAAGTCAAAAAAATCAGGATTTTATTTTTCACATTACTGTAAATGGAGTTAAAAAAGAACAAATGAAATGTTTAAAAAGGAGAACTGGACATTAATTTGGAAGAGGATTCCCTTGCTTGTTTCTACACAGAGAAGCAAACACATAAAAGAATCACAGCTGTTCATATCAGTCTCTGAAATAAAAATAGATATTCATTTCACCTAGTTTTGTAGGTTAGATAACTTTCTAATTCCTGAACTCTAATCACAATTGTGATGTATTTGGTTTTTAAGCCAGTGCCAGATACAGGTACAAAAGACAAAATTGAGTTGCCCTATCCTTTTTGGAAAAACTTACATGACAGGAGTTTTTTTCTTCTGATTGGTTCTTCTCAGTTTGATTTTTCTAGGTTTGTTTATTTCTGTCCACTATGTAGACTGGCCAATTACATTTTGGTTTTACTTTTAACGCTTTTGTGTCAATGTTTGGGAGGAGGCTTTTCCCCATTCACTACAACTTGGAGGAATGCAAGCTTGGGGAAAAAAGATTTTATTTTAAAGTTGGGCAGTTTTCCCCCAATGATACAGGAATTTGTCAATAAAACAAATTACCTAGAAAACTGATAGTCCTCTTCTTTGAATATGTTCACATTGAGGCTAGGAAGAAATATCTCTTGCAAGGATCCAGTCTGGGTATATACAACAGGCACTAGAAATACCACACAGAACAGCACACACACTGTCTCCAGCACGAGTCTGAAAGCTCGAAGGACAAAATCTCTGGTTCCAGTGACCAATCTAGATTGGATCCTGCAACATTATCCTGGGACATATATTTGCCTTCACAGTGGAGATATGTGAGCAATATCTCTTGAACTGAGCAGAGGCTGGATTCCAAAGCCTATTTAGTTTCATTCAGCAGCATGATTTTGGGGCTTTTTTTTTCCTCTGCCAGGAGTTCCCATATCATCTCCTGTAGCAGGTGTTGCTATTGGTTTGATTACCAAGCCAAATCCTGAAAAAATTGGAGACAATGAAAATTATTGCCTATTAACAGACATTCTGGTGAGTATCTTTAAGTTTATTTCTCAGTCTTGAGATATCTTCAATCTATAAAATTTATATTAAATTATTACAAAATTATTATTTTTTCACAAACATTAAAAAAATGAAATCCATAACCATTATATATTACTGGCAAATAAATTCATAATAACATGATGAGAGGCAGAGCTTTGAATTAGGAGAATACCTTTTGATCTAATGAGTGATATGTGGTTTTAGGAAACTCACTACTTTCCTCATATATCCTACTTATCTATTAAAAGGATTGGCCACCCATACACATTTTAAGATATCATTTTAGCCATTGTCTATCCACTGCAGGATGAAAGCCTCTTCTGCATGTTTCCAACCAATATGGTCCAATGTGCCAATTGGGTCCGTAATACTTTTTAAAAATATGTATTTTAAAATATAATCTGTGTGAAGTACTTTAAATGTTATACAATCATTATGAAAATTTAATGTTAAATATTAACACTAGTGGACTGGAGATTACTCAATTCTTTTGTTTGTCAGCCATATATCTTTTCTTGCATTTATACAAACTCACTGTTGAATTAAGTATCTGCCTGATACGAGTATTATATATACCATTAGTTCTTGACATACGAACACAATTTGAGCAACACAGTTGTTAAGTCAGTTTTACCCCAATTTATAATTTTCCTTGCACATTTAAGTGAATCACTGCAATTGTTAAGTGAATCATTCCGTCATTAAGCAAATCTGGCTTCCCCCATTGACTTTGCATGTCGGAAGCTGGCTGGGAAGGTTACAAATGGTGATCAGATGACCCTGGGACAGTGCAACTGTCATAAATACATGCCAATTGCCAAGTGCCCAAATTTTGATTACATGGCTATGGGGATGCTGCAATGGTCAAATGTGTAAAAACTGGTCATTTCTCACTTTTTTCATTGCAGTCGTATAACTTTGAATAATCACTAAATGAATGGCTGTAAATTAGAGGCTACTTATATTCATGTTGACCCTATAGTCTGTAGTCTATGTAATTTCCCATTCCGCTGAGACAAAACTCATATTAATTATAACATCTTGTAACATAAAAAGTTTATACAACTTATTTGAAATCTTGGGAATTTTAGTATTTTAAAGCGGATCTTTGTTATGCTGTAAATCATTTATTGGTTTATTGCTTAAGCTTCTGGCATCAGTGTATTTAACTATTTAGAGTAACTTTGGTTGACTTTATTTTCCAAGGACATGATAGATAGTTTAGGGACATCCATTATATCAATATAAGTGTAGAATTTAGCAGCAATTCTGAAGGAAGTATCACAGCAGAATCTGTGTTGACACTTATGATTGGATTGTTAATAGAACTATTGCAAACTTGTTGATTATTTCAAATGCTCTTTTACAGGGAATAGAGGATTATAATGGTGATATGGACTTCAAGATGGCTGGGACAAATAAAGGAATCACTGCCTTACAGGTATCCGCTCTAATCATCTTAATCTATCCCACCCCCCAATTTGCTAGAAAAGAGTTCCATTGATATTAGCTGATGTTAAACTATATTTTTTATTTGTCCATTATTAGGCTGATATCAAGATACCAGGAATACCCTTAAAAATAGTAATGGAAGCTATTCAACAAGCTACAAGTGAGAAGGACAACCACAATTCTTGACTTCTTTTTTCTCTACATTTTTCATATCAATAAAAGGATAAGTTGTAAATCTGTAAAAACGATCTCTGACCAGGCTCATATTTTGATTGGCATTCAGTAGAATAAAACAACAAAAACTCATAAAAATTAAAAAACTAATCATTAAAAATTAAAAACTGAAAAATTTGGAAATATACAAACCACAAGGGGAGAATAAAAGATCAATCATGAATGGAGGCCTTTAAGAACATCTCCAGTTCCATGAGATCTCCCCCAGGCCTAGTGGCAGAACTACCGTATTTTCCGGAGTATAAGATGCACCTCACCTTTTTTGGTGAGGAAAAGAAGAAAAAGAAATCTGCCTCTGCCTCTGAGCAATTTTGCCTCGTTGCAGCAAACAGCCTGCTTTACTTTCATTTTCGTTTTCAGCATAGCTTGATTAGCACAAGGAAAAAAAAAATCTGCTCCAGCAGTTTACCTCTTTGCAGCAAGCAGCAGAGCCCTGCCCAAAACACTGAGAGCAAATCAGCTGAGACTCAGGAGGCCGATCCAATCAACTTGTGCTAATTAGGCTGTGCTGAAGCTGAAAGGAGCTGTTTTTTCTTGCTGTTTGCTTGCAAGGAGGTAACTGGTGCGAGGCAGAGACCAAAGGATGGGGGCCAGTGGGTCGGCAGGACTACATTCTGTGTCTAAGACACACCTAAATTTTCACCCCCTTTTAGGGAGGGGGAAAGTGTGTCTTATACTCCGAAAAATATGGTAGATCTTGGGGACTTCCAGAATGGTAAGAGAGATGGAACTAATCTGAGTTTACTCAAAACAAAATATTTCCAAAGATTTTTTAATCACAGTCCCATTGATCAGTTAAAAGTTTTAAACCAAATAATATACCTGTTAAAATATTAAAAAATATAGGCCCCTTTAAATTTCTTTGCTTTTCAACATAAAAATTAGCAAAGTTCTGTGTTCATCATTGTTTCTATGTCGGCAATGGACTATGCATTTAGCATGCTTTTTATTTTATTCCTAAAGAAGAAGAATACCAAGGAAATGTATTTGATTTTACTTCAGAAAATACTGTCATTGTCTTAAGTGACTAGTTCTATACAGCCAAATGTGACTGAATTTTTATTCCAAGAACTAGCCCAAAAACTTAATAGGTCCATAATAAAAAAAGATTGCAACAAAAGCTTAAAATATTAAAAGAAATGGAATAAGTTACTCTTTTTTCTCCATACTTACTTAAAATCTTATTTTATTCTATTTTATTTTATTTATGTCCCACCTTTATTACAAATTACTCTTTCTCCATGCTTACTTAAATTCTTAGAAATACTTATTTATTTTATTCATGTCCCACCTTTATTATTTGTACAAATAACTCAAGGCAGTGTACATATCCAACACACATTCTTCCTATTTTCCTCACAACAACAACCCTGTGAGGTGGGTTAAACTGAGAGAAAGACTGGCCCATAGTCACCCAGCTGGCTTTCACGGCTAAAGAGGACTTGAACTCACCATTTCTGCTTTCTAGTCCATTGCCTTAACTACTGGACAAAACTGGCTCTCATAAATATTCTCTACCACTGGAAATGCAGAGGGCTTCCATGATGCACTGGAAATAGTACAGAAAGCTAGACAAAACATTTGGTCTTATAAAGTTCTAGACTGGAAATAATATTGTTTTTAACTTAATATAACAGCTGATTTAAAGTGTCTTAAACCCTTGTGGTGATGAAATGCTGGAAAGGATTTGCTTGATTAGTCATATTTAAAAAGAAAAGCAGAACACCAGCAGTTTTTTTAATGAAAAAATTACATTGTATATGTTGTGTATTTAAACTAAAATGTTATTCATTTTTCCATAGTTGCAAAGAAAGAGATCTTGCAAATAATGAACAAAGTAATTGCAAAACCTAGACCAAGCAGAAAAGAGAATGGACCACTTACAGGTAATGACCTATACTTTTAACTGGCATGGTTAGAGGGGGTTTTCTCCTAAAATGCATAAAATGTCACTTGTAAGAAGATGACCCAGTATTTACATGCAGATTTATGACTTTTTTGAGTTATGGATTTCATTTCAATAATTCAGTTTCATATATGACCTGCCAAGGTTGCTAAATCATATAAGGTAAAGATAAAGGTTCCCCTTGCAAATATGTGCTAGTCATTCCAGACTCTAGGGGGCAGTATTCATCTCCGTTTCAAAGCTGAAGAGCCAGCGCTGTCCGAAAACGTCTGTGGTCATGTGGCTGGCATGATTAAAAGCCAAAGGCACATGGAACACTGTTACCTTCCCACCAAAGGTGGTCCCTATTTTTCTACTTGAATTTTTTACATGCTTTCGAACTGCTAGGTTGGCAGATGTGGCACTAGGGATTCGAACTGCTAAACTGCCGACCTTTTGATTGACAAGCTCAGCGTCTTAGCCACTGAGCCACCCCATCCCTTTTCTAAATCAAATAGTATCAATAAAATCAGAATCTGTTAAAGAAGGGTATTTATCTTTAATCCACAACATGTTAGTCTTGAGAGAAAATAGAAAAATATTTAAGGGAATTTAAATTTCACAAAGTGTAAAAATTCAAATTAAAAAAATTAAAGGAATGCAGAGAGAAGGGAACAAAGGGGAAAAAACAGATACTACTTTTACCAACTTTTGGTGTCAAGTATAAAAATAGATTCAATATAATTTTTCTAATACTGTTTTAATTTTGTTTTTTTAATAGCAGCTCTGTCTTTAATGCAATGTGGCAGTTTTGATTGATTACAAGCAGCACTGTTAGTAATTACTCTGCATTGTTCTAAAAACCTTTAGAAATAGATGCTTCTCTGCAAAAAATCATAGTAGCAATATTTATAGAAGGTTTTGTAAATAGTTAGCAAATGTTGGTATCTATGTGGAGTATTTTTTCCCTTTTAGACTACTAGTGAACCACATTCACATAAAATCTATGGGGAACATTTTTGTTAATCTGGTAATTTTGTTTAGCAAATGTGTTCATTAATATAACTGACAAAGGATAGTATCTGTTTATCATTTATTTTTTCTTTTTGTGCTGTCTCTTTGTTTTTGATGATTATCCAAACCTCTGCAGATTTGGAGTGGATATAATAGTGCTGTAAGAGAAATTCTTTAATATTATATCCATCTTCTCTTTTATCCACCCCAGTGTCCTGTGAGCAAAACATAGTTTTTAGGATATTCTCATTGGTCAAATGAACTTGAGATTTATTTAGATTTCTAAATACAAGCATGCTGTTATATACTACTCTTCTGAAAGGCAAAATTAACAAATGAAAAAGTCAACTCCTAAATCCTAGTGTTACACTGTCTTCATATCTTGAATATTGTTCATTTCAGAAACTATTCAGGTACCATTGACAAAAAGAGCGAGATTTCTTGGACCAGGAGGTTATAATTTAAAGAAACTTCAAGCTGAAACAGGTTAATTCTATTTTAGATTTTATATTTTCCATGTTTTGTATAAAACTAATATAATAGATTAAATACTAATTGTAACCTGCTCTTATTCCAAAGGGGTAACTGTTAGCCAAGTAGATGAAGAGACTTTTTCCATATTTGCTCCAGTACCAGAAGCTATGTATGAAGCAAAAGAATTTATTAATGAAATATGCAAAGATGATGTAAGAGCCCTTTTGATATCTTTAGCTTTATTATTCATAATAACTTTCTAAATATATCAGACATTTGGAGTCTGTTGCATTTACATTTCCTATTCCAAGTCTTTTCAGCCTGGACAAGTTTTATAGATTTAAATAAAATATAACTTATGACCACAATTGAGCCCAAAATTTATCTTGCTAAGAGAGGAATTTATTAAGTGAGTTTTGCCCCATTTTACAATCTTTCTTGCCATGTTTGTTAAGTGAATCACTGCAGTTGCTAAATTATTATCCTGGTTGTTAAGCAAATCTGATTTCCCCATTGACTTTGCTTGTCAGAAGGTCACAAAAGGGGATCACACGACCCTGGGAAACTGCAGCCATCATAAATACAAGTCAATTGCCAAGCATCTGAATTTTGATCATATGACCATGGGGATGGGCAATGGGCAATGGTCATAAATGTGAAAAATGGTCATAAGTCACTTTTTTCAGTGCTGTTGTAACTTTGAACTGTCAATAAATGAACTGTTGTAAGTCAAGGACTACCTGTAGTTGATTTCCAAAGTACTATATTGAATGAATGAAAAACTGGGTCTTTGAGAATTTTAATATTTTCTTTGAATAGTTGGTCCATGCCATATTGCATGTTTTTAAAAAACTGAACTGTTCTAAAAATCCCTTGGCTTTTGCAAGGATGTTTTTGTTCTTCGCATATATTTAGACTCTTCTTTATTTGTATTTATAGCAAGACTATCAATTGGAATTTGGAGCTATTTATACAGCAACAATAACTGAATTAAGGTAAACAAGTGCATCTTGTGAAGTTGATCAGATAGTATTTCTGCATATGGATGTGTGTTCTCTCTGTCTCTCACACACACACACACTACATATATACTTACTACATATTCACAATCTTTATTTCTTTTAAAAAAATATTTCAGCATTTTTATATGTAACCATTCTAGGCTACTTCTTAGGTACAGAGGAAATTCTGAAGCAAACCAGTCTAGCGTTCTAATTTTGTTAAGGAGGGAAAAAAAGCAATATTAGTTGGAGGGATTATTAAGAAAAAGGCAGTAATGTACAAACAGTTCAAATGAAATGAAGAAGTGAGGAAACAATGGGTTAATACCTTAACTAAGGCATTAAACTAAAATCTTTCATTTTATGCCTGACTCCCTTTCCCAACTACTTAGGTGTATATTTTTTTAAAAGGAATTTTAATAATTTTAATTGCACAGAAATAACATAAATAATGGAAGACAGAGATGCACACTATCACAACCTTATCTCACTCTTAACACTGATTCATTTGATTCTTTGAGAGTTTCATTAGGCCTTTGTGTGTGAACTGGTACAAGGGAAGCAATAAAAGACTGAATACGTGATTGATAAGGACTTCCGTTTCTCTTCCAAAAATAAGAAAAAGTAATGATCTCACAAATATTTTTTCTTTCTTTCAGTGAAGAGAACTCAACTGTGTAACAATTTTTGACAATATTTACAAAGTTCAGTTGAGGAAAGGATTATAAAAAACTTTTAAAAGTTAAATAATTTATAACGTGCTCAGTCAGATAAAATGAGGTTCTTTATTTAGACAAAATGTTGAAACAAAGAGGGAATAAGGTCAGTGTTGCCTAACAAGCGAGTAGCCCATCACCTCCATACGAATACATGGGATGCAGATGTGATGCTAGGCCTTTCCCATATTAGGCCTCGTGGTCTAGAGTACCTTTGCCCCAGAGTTCTGTTCAGCCACCTCCCACCTTGGCAGCTGGTGAAAATGGTAGTCTTTCATTGGACCTTTAGCCCTAATTGATTGTGACTGGGTATATATTTCAATGAATTCATGCATGCATTTTATTATATTAATTTTTCTGTTATGTTTTCTTTATGCTATATTATTCGCTGTTAAATCCTTAATTGATTGAAGAGGTGTACAGATATTGCAAAATAAATAAAAATACCGTATTTTTTGGAGTATAAGACGCACCTTTTTACCCCCAAAAAGAGGGTGAAAATCTGGGTGCATCTTATTGTCTGAATGTAGCCCCACCCACCCTCTGAAACGGAGGTTTCAGAGGCTGAAAAAAGCCTCTGAAACCTCCCTTTGAGAGGCTGGAAAAAAAGTCTCTCAAACAGAGGCTTCAGAGGCTGAAAAAAAAGCAAGGCGCAGAGCTCACAACCAACGAACCTGTCTGGGAACAGTTGATTGGGGGTATTCCGGGAAGCCCCCAATCAGCTTTGTTCTTATTTTCCTCCCCAAAAACTAAGGTGTGTCTTATACTCTGGTGCGTCTTATAGTCCGAAAAATATGGTAATAATGAAATAAACGTTCTGTGTGACACATTCTTTTCTTTTTTAAAAAAATGCAGAGATGCTGGGGTGATGGTAAAATTATACCCAAACATGACTCCTGTTCTACTTCACAACTCGCAGTTGGATCAAAGAAAGGTGCTTTTATTATTTTTCTATTCATATAACAATATTGTTTAGTAAATTACCATTTGTCGCGTATGGTGTTTCCATAGAAGGCCCTGCTTTATGATGTGGAACCAACTAGAGGTGTATGTCTGCTATTAGAATAGTCACTTTAGATAGACATCTCCTATATTAAACAATATTGTTGAAACATTCCATGTACCTGCTGATTCTCTCATTAGTTGTTAATATAGAGTAAAAAGGAGTTAGAAATTTGGGAAATAATTCATAAGAAAAGTAAATTTATAGAAACTATTGTATATGCTGTTGTACTGAAAGCAATCTGAAGCAATGAGACAACTATAATGAGATGATATTTTTTTCTAGATTAAGCATCCTAGTGCTATTGGATTACAAATCGGTCAAGAAATCCAGGTAACTTGTTACATCTTTATTATATGTGGTTGGAGGTGATAATTACTATATATGCTTAACTACAGACACAGTCTCCCCCAAGAACTGTTACTTTCACTGTAGTTCAGAATGCTGGGAAATATTATCCCACTCTTAAGTATTAGAAAATCATGCATTACTTTCACACTTCTAATTCTTAAATGGTACCTATTCTTTAATTTCAATCCTTTTGTCCCAAATGATTTTTTTTTTCTTGAAAACATTTCGCTTCTCATCTAAGAAGAACTGAAGTCGCTTCTTGGATGGGAAGCAAAATGTTTTCAGGGGAGGGAAAACCCAGGAAAAGTCCAGTAGCCTTTTGGAAAAGCACCTTTGGGACAACCAGGACCTGGATGATTGAGAACCTCCATCAACAGTCCATTTTATTTTAATATTCTATTTTTTAGATTTTGTTAGCTGCTTTAAGCATTTGCCAGAGTAAAAAGGTGGGGTATAATAAGGAACTCTTTAAATGGCAATATATTGTTGTTATACTCAATCTTGATAATAAAATTAACAGTATGATCAAGACTTTTGATGTAGCCATTGTGCTACACTTAGGAAGATCTGATTTCACAAATTTAATACTTCAATATAGGAATTCTTTGTGCATAGATGGAATTCTTTGTGCCAGTAGGAATTCTTTGTGCATAGATGCAACATGACTGTCATTTGAAGACAGAAAAATATTACTTGCACTGAAATGTTAATTTCTGATAGTTCTCTTATTTTTATTTATTTATTTTAAAGATGTTAATTCTTTTAGAATTCTATATATCATTAATTCTTTAAAAATGTCATTTTTTTTCACTAAAAAATTAAACTACATAAATCATGCTGCATCCTGAGCTCAATCTCATTTCCTTCTATGAACAGGTAAAATACTTTGGACGTGATCCAACTGATGGAAGAATGAGGCTTTCACGAAAAGTACTTCAGTCTCCAGCTACATCTGTTGTTAAAACACTGAGTGACAACAAAAGTATAGTAATAGGAAATGGAGTTCATGAGTCTGCCAATTCAGTATAGCACAAGAATCCTTCTGAAGTAATAGAACTGTTCCCTTTGATAGAGACTGAGTAATTACTGGTAACATATACAGGTTTTTATATGCCCGTGTATATGTTAAATTTCATAGAAATATGATTGAATACCAGGTAATTTTCCCTTGTGTTTAATGCCTTTGGAGTTCTTTTGAAAAATAAGAATTCATAGCCCTTTGTCCACTGTCGAAAAGCTGACAGACATTTTCAAATGAATAGAATGACTGTTTCCAGAAGTATACAATACCATCCAAATATCTATTTAAAACCTTATTTCTAATGCTAACAAGACATTTCACATGCATAAGCTGTTTTCCTATATATGTAGAAATCTGTATTATTACATTTATGTAATATATGCTCCCAGAAATAATTTTAATGGAAGAACAATCATGTTGAAGAAGATGCTTCCGAACATGAACATACAAATGCAACACCTGGCTGTAACACATTTTTGGAATCCTGGGATTTTTCTAATCCCAGGAAAGTACATTATCTCAAACTGTTGAATCTTTCCAAGCAAATAAAAGTGGTTAGCAGCTTTTATTGACAATAAATACTCTTTTGTGGAATTATAGAATCTACGAATACTTTTAATGGAAAATACCTTCATTCTATATAGTTTATCTGTGGTTCTACCGCCACAAGAAAAGTCATTTGATATTATGTGCCATCAATTTCAACTGCTATCTAGTACATAGATAGATTTTCTCCATCACAACCTGTTCCTAAAATGATGATGATCCTCTTCTCTTTCCTATCATTTTCCCCAACTTTAGAGCCTTTTCCAGAGAGCTGAGTCTTTGCATGATGTATTTGATGTAGGATAATTTGAGCCTTGTCATTTGTGCCAAGTGGGTTATCTCAGTATAATCATTCAGTATAAGGAGATAAAAAACAAATGCCAAAATCTTACAAAAAATCCAATGTGTACATATAATTTTTGATTATATGTAATATTTTATTAATGAGCGGTTGAAGGAATATAAATGTAATATGAATATACAGACTTTTATTTTGCTACTTTAAGCTATTAAAGATATGTAAATTTGTTCACATTCTTATGGATTTTTTTTGTTTTTTAATTAATAAAAAATTGTCAAAAGAAAAACTTTTAGCAAAAAGTGAAACAAATACAACAAAGAAAAATACAAAGAATAAACAGTTACAGTGGGGCAAAAAAGTATTTAGTCAGCCACCAATTGTGCAAGTTCTCCCACTTAAAAAAATGAGAGAGGCCTGTAATTGTCATCATAGGTAGACCTCAACTATGAGAGACAAAATGAGAAAACAAATCCAGACAATCACATTGTCTGATTTGGACAGAATTTATTTGCAAATCCATTTTATATTGTTTGTCAAGTTCCATGTATTAGGTATATAATTTAGAAAAATATTATACTCTAATATTTTTAGCTTTTGCTGCATAATCATGTAATATTTTCTCCCAAAATTAAGTATAGAAACATTTTTAAACAAAAAAACATTCTTATTACATATCCAACAAAATGCTGTTTTGACAGTTTTTCTATATGAACATAATGGAATCAAATACACTCTAAATATTTTCGTTGTGTAAATTGTAATTTGAGGGCCATTGACACTCTTGCTGTAGAAGTTAAAACACTTCCATAATATAGGACCCTCAGGTTCTTTATTCCGCTCATTTCTTAACATCTGCATGTCAAACTGATTTATTGATAATGTGTATAAAAAATAATAGGCTTTTTAGTTTTAAAGAACTGGATACGTTTTCGTATCTCAAGTGTCTCAGAGGCTGAGATACTTTTGTATTTTTTAAAATACCATGTTTCCTCGAAAATAAGACCCTGTCTTATATTTTTTTGAACCCTGAAATAAGCGCTTGGCTTTATTGCCATGCACTCAAAAACCCGATTGGGCTTATTATCAGGGGATATCTTATTTTGGGGAAAACAGGGTATCTAGCCTTTGTGCTAGCTTTTCCAAAACAAATATACACATCATTTGTAGAAACTTTTTCTACATTTTAAAGCCTATGAAGTACAGACAAACTACAAATGTTTATTTGCTGATATACGAAGTGCTATATTTACCCTTCTCATCTGATCTACAGTGGGTTATCATGTGCTTCTCCTAATAATAGGCTTTGCTTGCCTTATGACTGGAAATTGGTGTTGCCATGATATTCTTCTGGACATAATTCAAAATTTGGTTTAGCCTGTAAAACAAGGATTTTAGTTCTGTGACACTTAATAATTAAGAGTCTTACCCCAGTAATGCAAGATTATCTGATATGTCAGGAGCTTAAGTAATAGTTCAGAACTTCTTTTGCATCTATTCCAGCTAATACTGATGGACTAGGCCTATACATAACTTGGCGAGATGGCAATAAAATTCCCTTATGTTCAGAGTAAGTGACTGTTGTGTTACTCAAATATGTGAGAAATACTCCTTTTACTGTCATCTTAAAGTATTACCTTGGCACTTGAGAACTTGCTACTTTTTTTAAGGATTATTATCTCTCAGTCACTTCTTTAAAACTAAAAATTAAATATATCGAAAGCCATTCCTTTTTCATTAAAATTGCAAAATTTTTAAATTTGTCATTTCTGTCTTTTAGTAATCGTATTTGTAAGTCATTTGTGTTGTGTATGAACAACTGTAGTCTTTAAATGATACAGATGGATACTTAGGTGTATGGGGACTGGACTTAACTGATTAGAAAGCAAAGACTACAGTGGTTGAGGTGTGATATAAACTGATTTTTTTGTGATGGTGGTTTTTCACTTCTTGCATTAAATCTACTTGATGACTTACACTATAATCTTTATATGTTTCCTGTCAAACAGTGGGAAGCGTTTGCCAATAGTCAGCTATCATTGGTACAGTTATTGGCAGTGTAATTGGATAAGACTATGGGGGATGCCAGCTACCATTTTTTGGTGCTGATGAAAAGCAAGGTGATGTTTTTAGAGCTCTGGAAGAATCATAAATATGTACTGTACTTTATGAATATTTTCAGCAGTTGTAGATGTTCAGTTGAACACGCATTTCTTTTATAAGTAATGCAAGAGTTCCTTTTTGCAGCTGGTTCTTGCAGCCTGGGATGATAGTGTTTGTATTTTTTAATATGCAAATATATCAAGAGTGACTAACCTCAATTGATTATACATTTCTAAGTGCAAATCACAATACTAGCTTTGGCCCTATGTGGCTTGATTTCTAGAAGCCTTTTCTGGCTAGAATGCATCTCCCTAAGTAAAGTCTATCAGCATTTTCCTATTGGCATTTTTTTTTCTTCCACTTTTCTTTCAGCAAAATTCCTACTCACATTACATTGGTGTTTTAGATATTATGTACAATTCAGTTGCCGAAGCTTTTTATTTTAGTTGTGATCTTAACATTAACAAAGAGCCCCTTTTTGAAAGGAGATGGGTAGTTTAGAAATGTGAAATATAAATTTTCCCTGAAAATAAGACCCTGTCTTATATTTTTTTTGAACCCTGAAATAAGCGCTTGACCTTATTGCCATGTACTCAAAAGCCTGATTGGACTTATTATCAGGGGATGTCTTATTTTGGGGAAAACAGGGTAATTATTCTAATACAGTGCATAGTTTGGTTTATAGTATGATGCTTAAATCTAAGTGCCACAAGTTTATTGATTGTCTTAAAGAAAAATATTGCTATATTATCCTGTCTTGTACAATAACCCCAAATGTCTGCTTTTCTGACATTCCAGGACCTAGATTAAATATTTCTCCCTTTTCCTTAATATTTTTAATTCAGTAGAAATTGTTAGTTTCAGAATTTGAGCCCTGGAACCACTTTTACTTGTACATACTTGTTTGTATGCTGCAGCCTGGTGTCAGTCATTTGGGGACCCCTGATCCAGACCCATTTCAATCAGGGTTCAGGTCATGGTTTGGGATTGAGAAGGCCTCAATCCTTAATTGTCCTCATGGATGACCTCTGACGGGAAAGGAATGAAGGTGGTGCATCCATTCTGGTTCTTCTTGACCTCTCAGCAGCATTCTTATAATTCCTTGGTAAATATACATTGCATTGTTTTGGTTGCCACAATATAAAAAAGTTGTTGAGACTCTAGAAAGAGAAGATCAACAAAGATGATGAGTGGTCTGGAGGCTAAAACATGAACAATTGCAGGAATTGGGTATTTTTAGTTTAATGAAAAGAAGTACTAGAAGCGACATGATAGCAGTGTTCCAATATCTATGGGGCTGCCCCAAAAGACGGGGGTCAACCTATTCTCCAAAACACCTGAAGGCAGGACAAGAAGCAATGGATGGAAACTAATCAAGGAGAAAAGCAACTTAGAAATTTCCTGACAGAACAATCAGCGGAACTTGCCTCCAGAAGATGTGGGTGCTCCAACACTGGAGGTTTTAAGAAAGGATTGAGTTGTCTGACACATACATTTCCTGCTTGAGCAGGGGGTTGGACTAGAAGACCTCCCAGGTCCCTCCCAACTGTTATTCTATTAATTGATACCATCAGTCATGGCATCCTTCTAGTTCTGTTTCTTAGATTGCTTGCTCTTGATTTTATGCATCATGACTTAACAAACAGTTGTGTTAAACCATGCAGAATTGATAAAAACTGTAGGGCATCAAGACTGTTATTTATGAATAGAAGCTAAAATCCTTAGCAAGTCAGTTTGCATCTGAAAGTACTCCAACTCCAAAAATTGAAGCTAACTTCTTTATACCACTCTATTTATTTTGTCCATCTCTGAAGTCTTTCTTCGCTGTGCTCCAGCTGTTATCAAGTAGCGCGTTTTCTAAAGGCAGTTGAAGGAAAAGGTTAAGCACAGGTCTTGGGGTAAAATAGCTCTAGAATCTTTTTGATGAAAAAAAAATACAGTATTATGACTGACGAGCGCGGGAGGTGGGTGATTTTGTCTCGTCCCAACTCGTCGTCATCGTCTTCAACGCCTTTGCAACCAGTGGAATGGGTCTTTCATCTCAAAGGCAACAGCAAAGAAACCCAGATTAATTTAATAAAACAATAAATAAAGGAGAGAACTGCTGGGAATATTGGGAGACGGACCTTCAGAGACGCCTCCTATTTAGAGGCGCTATCATTCCAAGAAACCCCGGCAATAAGTAACTGTTACTGCAGGGGGGAAAAAAAGCTAGGGCAACGCAGCTTTCCCGCCGCCAGCAGAAGAGTATACACCACGCAGGCGCAACGTATTCTCAACCCCTTCCTCCTTCGCAAACTGACAACCTTTTCTTTTGCTTCCCTTCCCGGCCGCCATAGCCCCTGCTAGTGGAGCCCGTGCAGGCCTTCCGTCCCTCTCCCTCCCCCGGCTAGGAGAGGAAGAGAAAGGCAGGGACGGGACAGGAGTCGGATTACAAGATGGCGGCTATGCCGCGGTGTTAGTGGCTGCTGCTGCTAGTTAGTACTGCTGTGGCAGAGGAGCGGCGGCTCCGACCTGAACGTCATGAAAAGCGGCGAGTTAAAGGCCTCCTGAGTGACGCTCTCAGCCCCCGGCCGGTCCTTCCCCCGTCCCTTGCGATCGGGCCGGGGCCCCACCATGTCGGATACCCGGCGGCGGGTGAAGGTCTACACGCTCAACGAAGAGCGGCAATGGGACGACAGAGGCACCGGACACGTCTCGTCCACATACGTGGAGCGGCTCAAAGGGATGTCGCTGCTCGTCCGAGCCGAGTCGGACGGTGAGAAAGGGGAAGGATAATGGCAGGCAGGGGATGGCGGCAGCTGCTAATCTCTCTGGGACAATAGAGCCCAGCCAGGGGAATGGGAAACAACCCATGGGAGAGTTCCGCCACCGCCACTTCACACACCCTGGGCTGAGGCCACGGATTCCTTCCCGCATATGTAGTCTCTCTTTTATATTTAGGCGAAATCGTGGGGTCAGGTTAGTGGACCCCTTCACCCCAAATATTACTAACCCCTAAAACCCTTAAGCACCTTCTTGATAGTCCCCTGAATTCATGCATGTTATAGTTAGGGAACCTTACTGACTGCTTTAAGGGATTCATTTGTTCTAGTTGATTATAAAAGTTATTTGGTAACTCCTCTGTCAGTTAATTGGGCGACTTTGGGGAAAGGATACTAAATGTGTTGTGAGGAGTGGGAAACATTAACTTCTAGAAAACTTTCAGAACTTTCATGATCCTAAACTGTGGTAATTGTTACTCATTGAAGATGATCTGGCTAATGATTTTTTTTTATAGGCCTTTTGTAGTACAGATTTATACTTTCAGATACTATGAGCTTTTCAGATATGTCCCAGCACTCTGGGTTGGTTTTCTCTGAAGCTTGCCTCCATGAGAAGAGCGCTCCAGTTTTCATATTTTCTTTCAATTTTACAGTATTCTTTAGGGATTTGCTTATTTTCCATCATCTTACATCTAAACTTTATTTTCAGAAATTTAGTGCATTTAGTGTGAAGCAAAGAAAGTAGTAACGTTTATGGCATTTAAGTTTTAACATAATTATTTAAATTGTTACTTTTTAGAGTGCTACAACAAACTATAATTTTTCTCTTGAAAAAAAATTGTACTTTGTGTTACTATATTTTCTATTGTTTAGAATGTTGGGTACTTAAAATTCTTACATTTTAAACTCTTATCCAATTTATTGTCTTGTTGTTTTTGAATGTGTCTGAATTAAGGACATAATATTTCAGTAGAAGTGACCTAAAACTATATCTGAAGAAAGCAAAATATTCAAAATTGTCTTTAATCATTAATTTGGTTGTACTTGGTGGTGAAAAAAAGAAAAATAAACATTTGTATCAAATTTTATATGCTGATGGAAGGCCTTTTTTCTGTTTTAGTATTTTTATGATAAATAAAATTTACCATGTTTTCAAAATTAGAAAGCTCTTTTTAGCAGAAAATGTATTGATATTGTTAATGAACAAGTGCTAATACACTAAATAAATCTTGTGAACCTTGGAAGTGATTGCTGGAGAGCTGTTGCCATGAAACATGATTGCTTAGACACAGTATATAATACATAAATTCAGGATTACATAATTTAGCTTTGTAAATATAATGTATGTTAGCTATCAAAGAAAAATAAGAATATTTTTTCATAGATAAATGAATGGTACATAGCTTGAGAAAGGCACACTGAAATTTTATCTTAAAATTCCCAGATTTGATCACTGTTTGCATAAAAGTTTTAGAATAAAGTACAGTCCTTAAAGTGGATAATTATTACTTAAGTTGCCTAAGACTTTTTATTTACTTACTTAAATTCTTGGTGGATTTTTTTCATCATTTCAGGTTCACTCTTGTTGGAATCGAAGATAAATCCAAACACTGCGTATCAAAAACAACAGGCATGTATTGTTTTCTATATTTCAACTATGTTACTATTATTGAAAATACTATTTTTTTAAAAAAAAGTCTGGTAACTGGACAACTAGAGTTTTGTTATATATCAAAATCTTAGTTGTCCACATACTGATAAAGGCAAGCCAAGGGATATGTGTATATTAAATATTGGAGATTAATATATGAAAATGCTATCTTTTACATTCACATTTTGGGACCCTAGAAATACACACCTGCAGCAGTGCTTGTCCTCTGAAACAAGGCTC